CTTGTACAGCAAATACGTACTTAAGACACCATGGTGGAATTTCGTTTTGATCTAAGTCCTCTCTTTACCCAACCGATTGTAAAGGTTACCTCGAATCTATTGCCGCATACATTTCGTGGAGATCGTCGTCAATGTTTGTGAGTATTAAAATATATTCTATTTCAGATGTGATATTTGTGGTGTTTCTCGTAAAGTTTAGATGATCATTTCTTTATACATTGCAGAGATGCTACATCAAAAATGTCGGAGATAATTGATCATTTGGGTCAGTTATCGGCTAGTGCCCAAAAACTTAGTAAACCGGTAACGACGGCTCAGCGTTTAAGAATGTCGGAGAATCAAACGATTTATCTGATGGCCGATGTAAATGCGGGTAAAAAGTAAGTGGTCGAGTTGATATACATACATATACATATATATTTATTACAGATTTGTTAATGTAAAATAACATAGCGAGTACTCTCTTTTCGGATCGTATTTCATTAAATGAGTCTGGGGTAAACTAATTAACTTTGTACTTCTATATCCTCTGGAACGGATGACATTATCCTTATCCATCTATCCAATACAATGTGGATCCTTTCATGGTTTTCAATGAAATGTAATTCTTATCAGAAATGGAGAGAAAACATCCATTCAATCATAGACCGATTACTCTTGTGTTTTTTCTACTCAAAATTTTAGAAGGAATAATTGATATTTACATTAGGTCTTTAAAGGAAAATATGTTGAGACGGCTCTGCATTTCCCTGGTAGCTTTCAAGGAAAGAAAATACTCATGAATTAATGAAAAAGGGATTCAAAGCATACTAAGTACACATTTAAAAATTTTATAGGAAAGACTTGGGGTTGGCAACTAGATATGGTAAATTGGATTTACATATTGGTTGTCAATAGTTGCATTGTCTATTTATCGGAAGATGCTCAATAAAGCTCAAAGGTGTGCTTCTATTGGCTTAAATGGAGCTATTAGTAGTTCTCCACAAACGAACTGGGACATCATTCTTAACCTGTCACCTATAGAACATTTTATAGCGGATGTGTGGATAAGAATATAATAAGACTTTATGAGTCTTCGTTAGTCAAACCTTTACTCAAATCTAGACTTCGGGGAAACACCTCTAATGGGATTTCCAACTTGGCTTGTATACGATAAATGTGTGATAGGTTTGCAGTGTTTACCGACGGGTTGAAGTTGGATACCGGCACATGTGTCGGTGTTTACATCGCTGATACCGATATCCCGACGAATATATCGTCTTCCAAACATGCCACACGGTACATTCGCGCCTGGTTGTAGATTGTAGAAATGTCCTTAAGGACATTATGAGACTTTTTATCATTGAACTGTGTTGGGTACCAGTGCACTGCTAGGTGCATGGTAATGAGGTTGCAGACGAACTAACTAGGTTAGGTTCGACCCTCGATATAGATGACAGGGAAAGAAGAGGAAAGCCACATATCTGTCACTGTTATAGGTTGATATTTAAGAGAATGTGTCACATCATCACTCCTGAAATGGTTGAATGTATTGCAAAATATCAAAGACATTATGATGTGAGGGCTACCAAGACACTTATAGGACTGGATGAACGCAAGCTAAAGTTTCTTACATGAATCCTAACGGGACATTACTCTATGCCCTAATTGAGTTGAGTCATTAAGTGGGACAATAACATACTGGACTATTACAGGTTATGTGAAGATGCAAAGAAACTAGAGTCAATCGAGCATATAATTTGCCAATGTTCTAGAATACAGAATCTCAGGTTGAAATTGCTGGAAAATAGGCTCCATGACGAACTGGGGGAAATTGCGGGACTTTACTCCCGCAGTCTACTATGTTTTATAAGCTGTTATAATGTCTCAAATATTAAGAAATTCGAGTTTTTTTAAGTTTATGTTAAGATATCTCGAAATCTTTCTTTGATGAAGATATTCTGAGATCAGTATCGGACTAGTTCCTGGGTTTTTTTTTTTCAAATTTTGTGGGCCTTTATAATTGAAAATAACAAAATTCTTTCGCTGTCCGTATAAAAATCGAAGGAATTTTTATTTATTCCTTTTTATAAACAAATTAACTTATTTCATTTAGAACTTTTGGGGGTAACCACACTATTTTGTAACTACAACAAAATAACCATTACAAAATTAATTTCCAAAATAAATGTACCTTTTGAATTATTTATAAACGAATTTTGTTCAACTTATTTCTAATTAAAATGTCTATTAAATCTTAACACATGTTTTCTTCAATCTAATACATTTATTTCCTCAGCATGTCCTGCTTCCGTTTAATGTTCTTTGCCAATACTTGTGTTTTGAAATTAATTATAATTTCTTTTTTTAGAACTTTAACACAACACACTCTAACTGCACGTTCTAAGGGATACTCAAGTTTTTTGATAACCATGTCAGACATTGACCTGTGACAAATTGTTTTAACTAATTGAATTCAATTTCTATACGCCCTCCCTTTAATCCATTAATAATATATTTTTTGTTTAATTTTTTTTTCACAGTGGCTGTGTCATAGGTCTACTTAAGGTGGGCACCAAAGATTTATATTTGTTCGATGAAACAGGACAAACACGTAAAGTAGAAAATGCTCCATCTATTTTGGATTTCTATATACACGAATCACGTCAAAGAGCTGGTTTGGGTAAAGATCTCTTCGAAACCATGTTGGCTGATGAAAATTGGACACCTGTCAAATGTTCAGTGGATAGACCGTCAGAGAAACTCTTGGGTTTTTTAAAGAAACATTATGGCTTAGTACGTACCATACCGCAGTCTAATAATTTTGTACTCTATGAGGGTTTCTTTGATGATGGCAATAAACAACAGCAGCAACAACAACAACATACAAACGGTGGCATGCATATCACAAATAGGTAAGTAGATTTAAATTTATATTACTCACATTTGTTGACTTACCCTACTACCTAACCTCCAAATGTTTGGGAAAATCTAAAATAAGAAAACCATAGTTTATGTGTACAAGTTTACACTGTATGCGTCATTTTGACTTCCCTTGTAATTTTTTTTTTTTAATATTAAGGAAGTTTTAATATTTTGTTTTTTATTTTTTCCTTTACAAAAAGTTGAATGTGTGTGTCGAAAGAAAATAAATAGGGGCAAAAAGAAAAAAACAAAACTTGACGTGTTTTAAGAATATTGTTTTTAAAAACCGCGTTTCATGTCAAGTGTTATATGTACAGAATACACACGTTTCAACCATCTCCATGTTTGGGTGTCATGAAAGCTAACAAAACAAACCCTTAAACTTTTCACACATTTTTATTTATGCCTCAATTTATTCAAGTTTTACTTAAAGTAATTTATTTACAAACCTATAAACAATTATGTATATTATTATATATTAGTGTAGTTCCTAAACTAAAATAAGGAATCAGGGTGAATCCATATCAAAACGGACAGAAAACAGCAATTTTCGGATTTACCATCTCCGATTTTAATGAAATTTCCCACATATTTTATGGTTTGAAAGTGTTCCCTAAATCAATGACTTTTTGATCGGTATCCCGTTCCAGACCAAAAATATCGCGCTTTGAAAATTTAAAAATATGTTAAAATTGTCTAAAAGTATATACATATAATTGCCCATAACTTTGAAATTCCTTTAAGTACAGGATAATTTTTGATTTCGTTATAAAGCCAAAGATATTGTCTTTAAAATCGTGTAAATAAAATATTTTACTTCCAAAAGGTTAAGGGTCAATTTTTATAGTGTATTTTTCAATTCCAAATATATCAGACAGCCCCGTATTAAAAATTATAAAAGGACATGGTATGAGGATACCTATACTCTCTTCTATATTTTAGTGAAATTTTTTCGATGGAGACTCGTGTAGTTCAGGAGTTATTAACCAAAACGTCATTTAAAGCAAGTTTTTTTTATACAAAATCGTATGAAAAATTAAACAAACAGAAAAAAATACAAAGTGGAATCAATTCAATTTATATGGAAAATGCTATGTATCTCTTAAACTGCAGGACCAATTTAAATAATATATACAAGAAAATTATTAAGAACGATTTAACCTTACTGAAAAATTACCTTGTTACCGCCGTGTTAAAATACAAGGTGAGGTACGTGGTGTTAAATGAGAGTACTTCGATTATAAAAAATATTAAAGCTTCACAAATCTGCAAATAAGGACCGATTTGGCTGAAGTTAAATTTTTCTTATAGTAGACATTATGGGTATTATAAAACTTAATGGTAGTACTAAGTTATAAGTAAAATTGAAAAATTATTTTAGTTTAATTGTTTAACTTTTGTTTACTACTTTATTTAAATTATATCTCTTAAACCATTAAATTTAATTAGTATTGCAATATGGATCTAGCTTTACTGTGTTGTATAGATTACGAAAAGTTTATGATCAGTTAAATTTGATCTCATTTATAGATGATAGAAGCTTTAAAATAATTTTTGAAGTCGAAGAGTTAACTTCTTAAACGCTGTTTTCCACCTTTTATTTTAATATTGTGATGACAAAGGATACCTCCAGTAAGGCCTGATCGTCCTTCATAATTTTCTTGTACATTTCATTTAAATCGGACCAGTGGTTTATGAGATACAATGTAATTTACCATATAAATTGAAATTGATTCTAATCTATATTTTTTCTGTTTGTTTAATTTTTCATACGATCTTGTATAAAAAACTGGTTTTAAATTACGTTTTGGTTAATAACTCCTGAACTACACGAGTCTCCATCGAAAAGTTTTCACTTAAATATAGAAGAGAGTTTAGGTATTCTCATACCATGTATTTTTATAATGTTTAACACGGGACTGTCTGACCTATTTGACATTGAATTATACACTATGAAAATTGACCTTTAACCTTTTGGAAGTGAAATATTCTGTTTACACGATTTTAAAGACAAGATCTTTTTCTTTAATATGAAATCAAAAATTATGTTGGACTTTAAGTAGTTTCAGAGTTACGGTCAATTATGTGTATGTACTTTTAGGAAATTTTAACATATTTTTCAATTTTCAAATCGCGATATTTTTACATTGGAATGAGATTCCACTCAAAAAGTCAATGATATGTGGAACATATTATATATATATTATATGTGTGGTAAGTTTCATTAAAATCGGAGATGGTAAATCCGACTGCTGTCCGCTTTCACATGGATTCTCCCATCAGTTACTACATATTGTTTTTTTACTTTGCAAGTTTATATCAAGTATAACCAATCAAAGTTTTCTTTATTTTTTATACTTTAGTAAACTAAAGCATTTTTACCAGACTTCTCAGGTTTTCAAGGGTATACATGTAGTTATAAAGAGTACGGATTATTACTACATATTCCGAATCTTAGAACATTGAACCCTCCTTAGGGCATATACTTTCGAATCATTGCCCATATTATTGACAAAATATCTTGAATTCCGGAAGTTTGTTAAACCCTTATGTCAAGGACTTAATAGCTGCTGATAGTCAGTCAAATATTCTTCAGAATATTGGATAGAACCTAAACCAAATTACCATAAAATTGATCATAAATACTTCATCTGTAAGAATGCTACATTCACAATTGAGTCGAAATATAATGTTAATTTCATATTCTAATATTAAAATGCCTAATTTGGATCAATCAAAGAATATTATTTAAATTAGGAACATTTAAAATTCTGTATTATTAAACTGCAAAGCAAAGTGAATAAAGCTTTAATAGCGAATAGATAGGTAAATAACACTTTGATGGCCGTAGTTCGTTTGTGATTTATTCCCATGGTTTGTGGGCCACGTCATTGCTGTTAACGCCGAATGCTATAGATCGATAATCACCATTTTTTAGCATTGACGCCGTTAGACTTTATCCTGTAGGGTTTTCTTTCTTTGTTAACATTTCCCTTGTTGATTTCTGCGCCAGACTCTTGGAAAATTGGACATTTCGGATGCGCGCCTCTAAGTCCGTTTGAAAAATGTTCTAAATCTGCTTTCCATTGAGAAGTATGTTGAGAGTGTAGCGGCTAGGAACTTATTCAGACTGTTTGAATCAGCTCTAGAAAGACCAATGCGGGTAGGCCCTACAAGAATACTATACGAGGTAGGTCTAACAGGAATTTAGGGAAGTACAAAGGGTTTTTCTGATCATATGGTTACGACCTTGGACTTCGCAGTGACGTATTCAATAGTGATTCCCAGTAGGGATGAGTGGATGGGATCCGGAATACTGTTTGAGGAATGTGAGTTAGTTAGTTAGTTAGTTAGTTAGTTAGTTAGTTAGTTAGTTAGTTAGTTGGTTAGTTAGTTAGTTAGTTAGTTAGTTAGTTAGTTAGTTAGTTAGTTAGTTAGTTAGTTAGTTAGTTAGTTAGTTAGTTAGTTAGTTAGTTAGTTAGTTAGTTAGTTAGTTAGTTAGTTAGTTAGTTAGTATGGACGTATGTTACCCATCCTTTGGCAACCATCGAGCTTGTTGTGCGCTCCCCTACTAATGCCTCAGGTGGGAATCGAATCCACCACTTCCGGTCTAATAGACTAAAAAAATAACCACTAAACTACCGGAGGCCTTAAAGAATCGTATATATAAATAAAACTACATTGGACCCCTCCAGAAAATTGTTTCAATAAAATGACTCAAGCCCAACACCCAACGCAGAATCTTGTCTCTATTCCTTCAAGTCTAAAATCAGCAAACTAATGCTCTCATTCTTATTGATATCCTTGCAACTTCTACATTAATCTGAAGTGTCCAGACCCATTTATTAATTCTAGTTCTTGTCAAATAGTGACATATTATCTGTCACTTTATATTTAATTTCTAATCAATTTTCCAAACTGGTTTGCACTTGAATGTTTTTCTTTAAAATTTTAAATCCTTTGGAACTTATTAGTCTAAATAAAAAACCAATATAAGGTTATGTCCTCAAAACTTTGTAAGAACTAGTACTAGTTTTTCAAATATATGAATGGCTGTTAGTAATAAAATACCTTTAAGAAAAAAAATATATATTGAGATAACCACGCATACATAACTGGAAAAATAAACTATCCAAAAACAACAATATCCTTTATATATAACACTCTATCGTCGTATGTATAATTTCCAAAGCAAATATATATTCACCCTTACGATTTTACTATAAACTAGCATTATTTCTTTAGTTGTTTAGCCTACATTTTCTATAAAGAAAATCGTATAAAATAATAAAAACACTTAACTGCCGTGATATATAATTATAAGTATGTATGTGTGAATGTATAACTACTTGTACCTTTTCACTTGCATGCATTTATACACTGGGATTAAAACGGAAATATTACAAGACATTTGGCGAAAGTAAATAAAACAACTAATTTACATGTGAAACTTGACCATATCAAGATGGCAACATGCTATTTAAATATTATTATTAATAAAAACTTAAGGAACTAAAAGCAATAGAAAAAAATTAAAATTTAAAAAATTTCTTTAAAATCAATTTGATGAATTAATAACTATATTAAATATTAATGATTTATGGTTAACATTAATAATAAATATTTTAAGTGTACACTACAAAAAATCTACTGCTAAACAATTTAATAATTGTTAATAATATTTATTTTTATTTATTTTCTTATTTTATATATTATTAAAGTAACTAATTTTATAACAAATCATATTAATAAATTTATTTATTTTTTTCTATTTATATTTCATATGTTGTAACATCTATTTACTACCAAAAACAAAACAACTTCATCATCATTATGAACAAATTTAAAATCTAAATAAATTATTTACCAATCAACTACAATAAACAACTAACTAAAAATTAATAAAAAAGTCCTAACACACAACTTTTTGGTGCTACATATTTGGGTGATGAGAATAACAAAAAACGTTCACAACAACGTCAATTAGATGCTCCTAATCTAAGTACACAGATAACACAGATATCACCGGTGGGTCGTTATGGTGCCAGAAGACCAACCTGCAGTATGGCCGAGGTATTTAACTATTATTAACATAATATATATATATATATATGTTAACGTTTTTATTTGCTTAAACTTTTCCTAAATACGTATGTAATTTTTGTAAAATTATTGAACTAAATATTCAGAAACAAATTTCGTGTTTTCTGAATTGAATTGTACGTTAAACACTTTCATCTGCAATATTTTTATTAAAAGTTTTAAAAACTTTATTTTTTTAAAATGCAAGATAATTAATCTTGTAAATGTGTAAAAATGTTAAATTTTTTTCTGACCCCTACTTATGCAGTGTGCATTGTGTTGGAACTAGGAAAATAGGTTCTTGGAGGGGGGATAGGGGGAGTAGTGTTTGTGGACATTTGATTTAAATCTTTTTACATCGAAATTGGCAGGGAATACTTCTGCAGGAAGTTTGTTCCACATATGAACGGTGCGGCTGAAGAATGAATTCTCTCTGTAGTACGTTGTGCGGCCCACCAATCGACCACAAATGGGTGTGTTCTTGATGAAAGTCGTGTGTTGCGAAAAAATATGCGGGTATCGGGAACAAGTTCCCTAATTTCACTCCATTGTAATATCGATAGAACAGTGAAATACACCCCACGTTGCTTCGGTGCACAGTGAATCAATAGAGTTGAATAACCTACTGTGACTTCGGAGTTACAAACCAAATAGTGTTTCCTTAACTTGAACAATATAAAACAATCAGAATCTGAACATTAATTTAAAAGTTTAGTCCTTTGGCATCAAAACAATTCCCAAGAGAATTGTTCATTTCATTTTAGCTTAATTTCGATATCGAAATGTGTTTTCGATACGTAATCTTTTTCGGTTACGTATGCCGTAATTCCTACCCTGTTCTCGTTCTAATTGTTTTGGCGATGGAATGCTAGTTTTCTAATAAATTGACCTTTGCTGTCATTAATAATGCTATTCCACCCGCAGGAACTTAAAATTCAGCTTTCAGAGGAGCAAGTGAATACAACGAGTCAGTAATCTACGACCAAATGTTCCAAAACAGCCATATACGGGCTGTTATCGACCTAATTTAGTGAAACAAACTCATGGGACTGTCTTTTAAAGTTCGCAAAGAGAACACACTCAATCCTGCCAAGGTAACGTGAAGTTAATGACTTTTGCAGTCGAATACTGAGCGTTGCTGCTCATGTTGGTAGTCTGGGATTGCCTTGGTGTCTCCTGAGAAATGCCCCGCAGGCCTAGCTCCATCGTCGGTGAGATTTTGGAGAGCTTTCAACTCTCATGGTCCAAGCCATCAATAGAAAGTCGTAAGAGTATCAGAGGCAGAAGAACCTTCATGTAAGCGTGTAATCCAAGGTTGGTACGATCACTCTCTGCATCTACCGCAGCGACTGCATAGGCTATTCTCCTTGAAGGTGGGAGAAGAAGACCGCCGATCCTTCTGATAAAGAGGTAAATCTTTGAGATGACTACCCTATTTACTCAGAAGGATGACTTGATTGACGGGGACGAACTTCTGAGATTATCTCAGAAGGACATCAGTATCAAACTTCTATTAAAGATGTTACAAATCTATATAAACTACTCTAAAGTAGCATTAGCTGCACTGATAACAACACTGCTATAGGTAATCTAGTGGTTGCCCCTGCGACATCTAGGTTAATCAAAGACTACCGGGTATCTCTAAACGAACAAGTCAGGCGCAATGAGGGAATATGAGGATATCGATGTCTTCTAAGTCGCTCATTCAAATTGAACTATATGAAAAAACTCAACTCAATAAAATAATCAGTAAGACCTCGAGATCTGGCTGGCCTTCATATGATGCGCATAGGTCCGGCTTATTTATAAGATTCTGAGAAAATAATTATGTGACATTAATGCTAGAAGGCTAGGTTTCGATTACAATGACTACAGGGACAGTGTCCTATCTCTACTACTACTACTTAATATTTACCGTGAATGGAGTTTGTCCCTTTCGTACTCCTTATTAAAGGTATAAATTAGCTATCTGGAATAAATCTTAAAAATATCCAAAATTTTATCAATAAAAGCGGAAGAATTGACTCCTGTAATCAGTAAAGTATCACAACAGAATCAGCAATTAAATGAACTGAAATGAGTTGCTTATGGAGTGGCTGCCCTTTGAATGTAACTTATCTTTTGAAATGTAGGACTGGTCCAGACACAATTTTTTGTTAACTAGAGATTATGTTATAATGTTAGAAAGAATCAAAGTGTTCCAAATTTAAAATTAAATTGAATTCAAACAACATTTTTATCATTCAGAAGGAATTTAACAACCGAAATGGCCTTGAAGACCTGATAATCCCTTTAGTGTTAATTCGATTGGAAAAACATATGGTTGGGGATTAAATTCTTTTAAATATTTGGTTTTATTTAACAAATTTTATAGCAAACAAATACGATTTGCTTTAAATATCAACATTACAACTGGAATTAATAAAATTAAATCACACAATTCTATCAAATAAATAAATTTTGTTTAAATTTGAAACAAATCTGTTAATAAAAACTATATTTTATAAAAGAACGTTCGTTAATATAAAAAAGTATCTGAACATCTTAAAAATGGAAGCGAAACGTAGTAATACTGTGCAATATCAAAACAATGGTCATCGTGTTACCACAAGTTCCTCGAAAACCCAAGTCATGGTGAGCTTAATTACAATTTCACTGAAAATAACATTTCCACTTTTTTCGCGCTAAGAAAATAGGGAAATGTTGTTTTCTTTATTCGGAAGTGTAGATTTAATGTTAAATTTGTTTAAAGAAGAAAAATGCCAGCGAAATAAGTTTGACTCCCAGTCAGGCAGCTGAGCAAGCTAAACTAAATGTAAGTATTTTTAAATTGTATGATGTTTGTTATGATAACTTGTAACTTTCTTTATAATATAGGGTCGCAAACATCCTTTAGATGCTTTAAGTAAATTGCCTAATAAACAGGTTACTGTGGAACGTAGATCGGTAGTTGTTTGGAAATATGTTATGTTAATGGAAAAGTTAAGACTTTTTTTTATTTTGTAGGGTCTACAAGATGTGGATGAGGAATATTTGAAGCAAAATGTTTTTCGAAAACCTCTGTTTTCTAGGAATTCGGTAATGTTTTTTTACGACAGTTTTAAAAAAGAATACGAAAATTGAAATAAGATTTAAGATTTGTTTATTATTTTGATATCAAAATTTAAATACGGGTATATAACTTAAAAAAATAAGGATTTTTCAAAATTTTACAGTGTATTGGCCATATGATCTTTACCAATCTTTTTGGCAACATATGGATTTCTTGCCAGAAGACTGTTCATTTTTGAGATCAAACAATTTTCGTCTACCCTGCTTTTAAGTGAAACCTATACTACAGAGAGATCGAAACAAGTAGAAGAAATATTTATGAAGTTTTGCAACATGTCAAAGCTCATAATGGAATGTTACGCATTCATGTCTGGCCGCATATTCTGGGAATTTTTCCATTCAAAAGAATCAATTGCAGCATATGAAACTTGTGCTACTTCCTCAGTTGAATGAATGGATCCTGACCACAAGATGGACGTTCATTAGGGACGCACGTTCTGTGTGATGTTAAAGTTGGGATGACTTATCCGGTCATATCCCAGGAGGACGTTTCCTTATGTGGATAGTGTTCCGAGGTTATTCGCTTGCAACCCGTAACACACATTACTTCGGGTTATCATCCGGGTTCGGAGTTATTCGACTGCTCGCAAACCTTTCGAAATTGTTACTCAAATATTCACTAACTAAATGAGAATAAATAACAGATATGTTCCCTTATAGAACTAGTAAATCCCGCAGTTTTAAGTTATATACCCAAAGAATTTTAATTTTATATTTAAGGCTGTAGTAAACCACTGGCTATAGTCAAGGCTATAATTGAGAATATAGTCCTGGGTATAGTCCAGACTATTGTTCTGTCTATAGACAAGGCTATGGTCCAAATTATAGACTCTATTTGTAAAAAAGACTACATTATCATTATTTTTATAGGGTTTAAATGAAGTTAATGCCTCTCAAAATCAAATGACCAATGTGCCAGCCGCAGGACAGCATTCAATTGTAAGTGAAGACTGTTTGGACTTTAGCCATTATTAATAACCATTAGAAACGTTATTAATCGTTCATAAATACAAGGGATTACTGCGTATTTCGATTCGAAAGAAAATACACTCGAAACGCAATGTAAATTCGATATTTTTTGCTTTCAAATCGAGTTACAGAGTAATAACCTAGGGGTTAGAATTTAGTTGAAGTTTGAGTTAGATTTATTTAGCGTTTGTTCTTTTGAAAAAATCACATCCAAACAAAAACATTTTATTTTCCACCTAAGCCTCCCTCCGAAGGATCTGTGGCAAATCCAATAATATCGCAGGCTCAATTAAAAGTTCAACAGAATTATCAAGAACATCTACCAGCAAATATGACACCATCGCAAATTCAAATGCAATCTCAAGTTCAGAGTGCAGCTGGAACTATGCCAACAGTACAAAATAACCAGCAAACAATGAATGGGAAAAATCAAATTAATCATGTAATTTTAAAAATATTTTTCGAAATAATTTCAAAACATGTTTTTATTTTTAAAAATAGCCTGCAGTATCGGTGCAACAGGATTGTCAGCAACAACAGCAGCACCATCAACAAAATGCCCAACAACCTCAAACGACTATTTACAATAATACTTTAACAAATCAAGAACCTGAAATGTGTACAACTTGTCCTAATTGTCAGACCACAATTTATTTAGTACGTGGAGCTGATGTTAGTAATGATATGACACAAAAAGAATACCAAACTCATAATGTGCCTGCAACACCATCAGGCTAAACTTGATTTCGTCAAATTTATTGAATATTCAAAATTTCAATTTGTTATGAAATTTATTATTGTTATTTTGCAAATGATTTGTTAAAATTAATATCGTTCTGAATTAAACTTTGAATAAACAATAAGGAGTTTGTAATCGGATGTAAAACTGTTTTTCTTAGATTGATAGATAGATAGATAGATAGATAGATAGATAGATAGATAGATAGATAGATAGATAGATAGATAGATAGATAGATAGATAGATAGATAGATAGATAGATAGATAGATAGATAGATAGATAGATAGATAGATAGATAGATAGATAGATAGATAGATAGATAGATAGATAGATAGATAGATAGATAGATAGATAGATAGATAGATAGATAGATAGATAGATAGATAGATAGATATATAGATAGCTAGATAGATAGATAGATAGATAGATAGATAGATAGATAGATAGATAGATAGATAGATAGATAGATAGATAGATAGATAGATAGATAAGATAGATAGATAGATAGATAGATAGATAGATAGATAGATAGATAGATAGATAGATAGATAGATAGATAGATAGATAGATAGATAGATAGATAGATAGATAGATAGTAGATAGATAGGTAGATAGTAGGTAGATAGGTAGATAGGTAGATAGGTAGATAGGTAGATAGATAGATAGATAGATAGATAGATAGATAGATAGATAGATAGATAGATAGATAGATAGATAGATAGATAGATAGATAGATAGATAGATAGATAGATAGATAGATAGATAGATAGATCGCTTTTATTTGAAATACAAATTTAAAATAAATGTTGTTTTAATTTTTAGCCCAATCCAAAATGATTCTTTAAAATTTCCAAATGTCATTTAAAAATTTAATGTACTGAAAACATTTTACAAAATATTAAATTTTTTACTACAATTATGTAGCAAAAACTATAAAACAATGAGAAAACAATGTCCTATAGAATATATGGTTTTGGCTAAAAGCCAAAATCACTTTCTTCATATTCTGCAACAATTTAAACAGTTCAACTACTTTCACTATTGTTTAGATTGTATTTTATTTTTTGTTAAGGATTTTCTTTATTTTTTTATGGGTATAAGTAAGCGTGTCACATAACGATTTGCTATCTGAACTGTATGTTTCTGTTTTCCTTTTTCCAAACCATTCCAAATAAACTGTCAGCAGTCAACCAAGTGGATTATTCTTCTTTAGTTGTTTGTTCTTTTCGTTACTTCTTTTGTTTTTCCTTTTTTAGTTACAGTTTAAACAAAGGGCCACAAAAATGTTTATTGTAGCTCAACAGGAAATTTCATTGTTTTACTCATATGAATGTTTGTGTTTTGTGGACGTTCTTATTCTTTTAAATAACAAAAAAAAAAAAAAAATAGAAATTAGTGTTGAAAGAAAAAATGTAAACTTAACCGTAATATTTATTATTATTTTAACAAAAAAAACTAACACTTAAAGTACACTAAAAAAATTTTAATTATTCTGCGGAAAATTTAATTTTTATTCGAATGCTGTGTGGAATGGATAAGAATTGAGACATTTTCATTTCAAATCCAACATCAGTTAAATCAGTAAGATTATAATAAAAAACTTGACCCATTTCCTAATTTCGTGTTGTGTTTAGAGCAAGATAAATACATAGAGGAATGCGATCGCTTTTTCGTTATTATTCAATACAATCTTGACATCAACTCGATATTTTAATTATTGATATTGTGCTGATTCATTCAAATATTTTCTTTTATATTTCTTCCAGTGTACTTATAAAAAAAAATTAACTCCTTTTTTTAAGGAGGACATTTCCTAAGTAGTTCATACAAATAATTACATACATAATCTTTGTTTGTTTGTTTTACTTAAACTTATATACTTTATACTATTTCTAAATATGTATGTTTTGTATTTTTTTTTTTTAATTTATTCCACTTGCTATTATGAAAGTGAAACTGTTTTATTATTTTTTTATTTCTTTCTTAAGTACGAATCTTTTGATAATGTTAAAGAACAAATTGCCATAATTCTTTTAAAAACTAGTTTAAACCGGTAATTCTATTGTTTAATGTCTATAATTCTTTTCTTTTTTCCCATTTTGTAGATAATTCACAGTGGTACGACAGCAAATAATAGCGGTGCTGAACCGGGAAGGTATGTTTGATATGAAAATATTATTTATACTTAATATAC